TTGCCAGGGGTTAGAGTTGTGTTAGAGTTGTGTTTTATATTTGTCTCTGGGTGTTTTTGTTTTTGTTTTTTTTTCTGAACTACATGTCTGTCTACATCTGTGGTAGTTTGGAGCAGGAGAGGTTTGAACTTCTGACGTTTGTTCCTTCTCTTTAGTTTCATCATATTTTTATTTATTATTATTTTAATAAGACAAAAGGCAGTTTTGTTTTGCTTCCCCTGAAGCCGAGGCCTAAGGCTTCAGCTTCAGAAACACCGTCACTGGGGATTTGACCGCTGTCTCTGTCGCTGTAAGGCAGGAGCTTCATCCGCTCCATGAGGTCCAATATTCAGCTTCCTGTGTCACAGTTTATAAGAACACTGACATCAGAGGCAGGGAGTGAATCAAAGGAAACACCTCAGAGGACAACAGGGTGTAGGAGCAGGCGTCCACGCTGTGACGCGGTGTTTAAAGGAAGTCCTTATTAAGGAGCCTCAGTATATGTGCTCCTGTAGTTAAACAATAGGCAGCAGTTGAAGAGTCTTTAAAAAACTTTCTTTTTTTTTACGACGGTAACGTGTGATTATGAAGAACAGGCGAAATCCCTGGTTTTTGGCTGTAACTTTTTATCCTTTTTTTATTTACTGCTCTCCAGCTGGCAGACAGATGAACCGTGACTGTTTGTGCGGGCGCGGAGCCACACAACAGAGATCTGTGTGCGTCCGCCGCGCCGCACACGCCGCGCCGCACACGCCGCGCCGCACACGCCGCGCAGAGAGAGACATGGATATAAATTGTGACTGTATTTCAAGCCAAGGTTGTTGGTGTGTGTGTTGTAACTTTTCTGTGGAGTCCAGACCTGTTCACACACACACACACACACACACACAGAGAGAGACACTTCCTATATGAAACTTCAACTCCCTTTATTAACACTGTGGAGTTTGTAGGGACACAGGGACACAGGAGACAGAGGAGACACAGGAGACAGAGGTGTTGCAGCGTGAAATGTTGCCAAACAACATAAAATAAATGATGCAATTACTTAAAAAGCACCGAACATCCTTTCCCCAAATCACACAGCTGTGACCGTGTGTGTGTGTGTGTGTTTGTGTGTGTGTGTGTGTGTGTGTTTGTGTGTGTGTGGCTACTGGTTCACAGTCTCCCTTCTAAATTTATCATGTCACATAAACTCATAGTTGCTTAACTCTTTGGGGGGCCTTTGGAGGAGCTCTTTCACACACACACACACACACACACACACACACACACACACACCAGAATATAAAAACACACACCCAGGCCTGCTTTGGGTCTACGNATGGTCACCTTGTGACCTATCCTTCAACCTCAGTTAGACATCAGTGGACCTTCTACTCTCCAGAGCGCAGCCAGGACTTAAATGAAATAATAAATATCCACACTATGGCTCCCAGTCCACCAGCGGGCCGCTCCGACCCGACCCCTCTCAGGACCTTCCAAACTCGGCAGGAAAAGCCAACGAGGGGGCGAGGAGCGAGAGGATATTAAGGTGGAATGGATGTGTACGGCTGCGTGACCTCGGAAATGCCAGGAGGAGGACAGGAAATCATCAGGACAGAAGTCGTCATCAACCTGAAAAGAAGGCGAGGCTGAGCCGGGATCAGCAGAGCTGAGCCTCGTGGCTGGACTCAAATGACTGAACTGTATTTTTGTGAAGTACTTTTATTGACTACAGAAGGTCAGAAAGACGGTGGACGAGCAGACGAAGTCCACACTCTGATGAACCGGATTAGAAATGAAACAAGACACAGACTGTCCAACAAAACCTCCGTCTGCAGCCGCGTCAGTTCCACCTTAAATCCACCTTAAATCACCTGACGTCCACTGTGATGTTAGGGAGAAGAAGAAGAAGAAGAAGACCTCCCCCTTTGATCCTCCCCCCGTCCTTCACCCACAACAGAACATCCACACGTCCAGATGCT